CAGTGAACTGAAAACTAAAGGCAGCTGGTGGCTAGGGGAGCATTGATTGGACATTTCTGCTTTGAGTAAAAATTTTGGAACTGGATTGAATTTATTTGAAGAGAACATATTTTGCTGGCCTTAACAAGGAAAACTACCTTGGTCCCTTTTGTCATAGTAGACACTCAACAAACATAGGGCCCCAAGAACCACAAGCTCCACACTGCAGGCTATCAGGAACACTCTGCTGGGGGCTTGGCTTTACTTGTCCCTCCCTCTCTGTGAAATCCTGGGGACTGTCAAATAAATGACAAGACTCATTTTACAAGTAGACCAGAAGTCTGCAGTGGCGAGTCCCAGCTGATTGCCTATCTTATCTTGAGTCATCAGTCTCTCATTCAGGCTTCCACAAACAACTCTCAGTCCTGTGCTTCGGGAGCAAGGGCCTGATGAAGTGGGCATTTCCCAGGGCCTTGGTTTATTGTGAGCCCCTGCTAAGGGAACTTGGCTAAGGGTGGGCCATGTCGCCAGAGCAGCAAGAAGGTTTGAAAGTTGAGGTTCTGAGGGGGCCTCTGTGTTCTGAGAATGATGGGGACAATGACCAGATGAGAGCGGGGATTGGTAAGACCTAATGGGGTGTACCATATGTTAAGTTCTGTGTCATGTACTACCCATGCATCACCTCATTTAACTTGGGTAACCTTTTCTTGGGATAAAGAAATTGAGATCCAGGGAAGCTGAATAACTTTCTTGAGTACGAACATCTACTCAGGAGTCAAGCTGAGACTTGAACCTCGGTATTTTGAATTCTAGTTTCTTAATCTCTTGTTTGGGGCAAGAAATGAGCTTTCTTATAAAACCAAATCACAAAGCCTTGAAGGATTAGGTCCAGAAGTATACCCTAGAGGAGAGTAGGCCACTACACTGTACCCCCATCTCATCTTCCTCTTGAGGCCCTCTCGCCTATTTCTTTCTGCCATCCCTGTGCTGCTTAGTGTCAAAGACACAGTCTGGAGCTTAAAAAAAAAAAAAAAATTAGACAAAGGCAGAACAGATTTGAAGTCTTGAATTGGTCAAGTTGGTATAGAGGTAGAGATAGAGTTTTTTGATCTTAGCAGAATTAGTTCTTCATTCCTGGGAACAAGAGGGTATCAAAAAGCAGGACTCCAGAACCCCAGCCCACTGATATGAGAGAGGTTTGGCAGTGCAGCAAAGATCCTGCATTCTGAGGCCAGTCTTTCCTGGATTACAGATTTAATTCCACCACTCACTGGTTCTATCCTGACTAGAGAGACTCACACTTCCATAGTGTTCTCCCATGTCAAACAGGTATTGTGGTAATGCTTGCTGTGTGAGCATGAGCCCTTGTGGGGTACCTGGCATAAATATGTGCTTGATGAACAGAGTCTGTTATTTGTTGCTCAACAAATATTAACATCTATTTTATATATTGAGTTATATTGAGTTTCAGTCTGAGATTTCATTTGAACTCTCTTGTTTTCAGCTCCTCAGTAGGTATTCTAGTTTTGGAGCCCTTACATGTTTCCTATAAAGTTTATTACTAGCTTTTGAAGTTTGGGTTGTTCTTTTCAATTAGAGGATTTCAATTGTAACTTCTTTAAATTTTTTCAATTATGAAATATTACAAATATGCTGAATTTTTTTTAAATCAGCATTTTTTTCTTCAGACTTAAATTGGTTAACCTCAGTCATTTCTCCATGAAGAACCCATCTGCTAGGCAAAAGAACCCTTAGTACCAAACCAAGAAAAATCCTAGCCAATCCTGTCCACAAGAAATGAGTACCCTTTGTCATGTTTGTCACCCTAATGGTCCTCATCCTCCAATGAACACATTGTCCTACATGCACACACAAACACAGGTACCTATAATAAGCACACAAACTGGTAATATAAATTACTACCTTGGATGCTCCTTTGAAAAAATAGAAATGTTGATGGCAACAAATATCAGTGGATAATTTTCCATTTTAGGATGCACTGATATTTATTTAGATAAAAATATGCGAATACTTTTTCATTGTTTCTGGTTTATTTGAATTAACAAGTGTACTTGCATAATAATGAACATGCCTGATTTGATCTTTGAGTTATTTTCTGATTTTTAAAGATCTATTCATATTGCAGGACCAGAAGGTTCACATATACTGACAAATTGTTCTTCAAATGAACTCATATCTCCACCAACACTGACTAATATCTAATCTCTGCAAAGATTATTAATCTTTTTGGTTTCTCATGATATAAGTTTGCATTTCTTTGTTCCTGATGACATGAATATTTTTCCCACACTTATTTGTTATTTACATTTCTTTTTGAAACGTGCTGTTGTGTCTTGTCCCTATGGTATGGAAGTATTCCTCTTTTCCTTATTGTTTATGAGGGTTCTTTATAGAAATAGAATTAAAACCCTTTTCCTGTCATATTTCACAAATATTTCCCTCAGTTGGCCACTTGTAACTTAATTTTATTTTAAAATTTTGTTTAAAAATATTTTTTGCCTGAGAGTGATTTTTTTAACTTTACTTAATTGTATTGATTTCAGATGCTGCCCTTTCTTCATATTTCTGCTATAGAGTTTTCTGTTGTGTTAATGCACATTATTTATTCATTTTCTTATTGATGAAGACTGATGAATAGCCAACATTTTGTTAGTGCAATGTTTCCTTCTTCTCTTTTCTTTTCACTGCAGTCCTATGCAAGTTTTGTAGATGTATCCCTGTAAGTGGAATTGCTCAGGTGGCAGGTGAGTCTGCTAGGGCTGCCAGAGCAAAGTACTGTATGCTGAGTTTCCTGAACAACAGAAATGTATTGGCGCACAGTTCTAAAAGCTGGAAGCCCAAAATTAAGGTGTCAGCAGGGTTGGTTCATTCTGAAGGTCTTGAAAGACCTCTTCCAGGCCTTTTTCCTGGGGTGGTGATGACTGGCCTCTTCCTGTGTCTCCTTATGTGCTTCGCTACTAAGACACATTCAAGTGCAGAACTTGTTCTTGGTTTCTGTCAGCTTAAAGAAGTTGTCTTTAATTCATGGTTTGCTACAGGTTTCATGACTATTGAAATTTTTTGCTGTGCTTTCCCTCTATTTAAGACAATGATATGTTTTTTAATCAATTCATCTATGACATTTTTGTTGAACCACATTTTTAATACATTGCTTAATTTAATTTACTAATATTATATTTAGATTGTTGTCCTATAATTTTTTTGGCATTTTCTTTGTTCAGTTTTTGTAAAGAGATTATAAAATGAGTTGGTTATCATTCCTTTTGCTTCCAATTATTTATGTAAAATAAGGCTTATTTGTTTCCTATAAGTTTTTGAAACTTTCTGGTAATAACATGTGGTATTCTTTTTGCCAATGAGATTTTTTTTAATTAATTTAAAAGCTCAAGGTGTATCCAGATCTGTAATTTCTTCAGTTTTCTAGAAAGTTGTGTACTTCTTTGAGTTTCTGTTAATTTTTTTTTTTATTCTTTACTCTTTCTGTAGTTATGGAACCCTGTTCATTCTTTCATGGGTTTAGTTGTCCATCATTATTTAAGCCTGTTTGAATTGAGTTTCTTACAACTTGACACTTAAGACATTCTGACAGAAGGAAGTAAATAAGAAAACATAAGATACAATTGGCACTGCAACAGTTGACTTCCAAGCCACCCTGCTCCCCTTTTGTTTTCATCAACTGACTTCAAGACTTCACTAAGCTGTTAAAATCTCCAGGAAGTCTTCCTTGACTGTCATCACTCCTGGTGAACCTGGATGTTTTACATATGCTTTCCTCTACAAGAGCATTAATCAGTCTAAATAAAAATGATCTGCCTCCTCCACTAAACTGAGTGTCCATCCAGAGCAAGGAAGTCATATTCATCCTTGTATTTCCAGAGACAGACAAGTGCCTTTCACATAACAAGCACTCAACAAATACTTTCTTAATAGATCTGTAAACACAGCAGTGTGGCATCTATCAGGAAGAATAGACTAGACCAGGCCCAGAGGGAACTCTTTTCCCAGAACACATCCTTCCTGAGCTATAAAATCACAATAGCCACTCACCCACTTGGCTAGGCAACTTCCCTCTGCCTGTCTCTTGGCTCTAATGCTGGGACTTTTAGACTTAGGCTGGGGCCATGGCAGAGTGCCTCATGGCAACAAGTCTTGGCTGACAGAGCTGGGATGGCCTCGCCCTATTCCAGTTTCTATCCCCACATATTTCCATACCCCTTTTCCCCACCATGCCAAGGGGAAGAGAAATAAATAAGATTAGTGCACAGGAGGCTGGGCTTTGGAGACAAATAGTCATTGGCTTAAGTCTTGATTCTGGTCCCTTCTGGACCATGCGGCCTGGAACAATATGCTTCTCTCTAAACCTTGGTTTCCTCCTTTGCAATATTAACTCCCATCTCCCAGGTTTGTGGAATTCTCTCACAGTAAATGTGCTCCAACTTTACTATGCAATGCTTAAAGTCCTTCTGGTGTTCTAAACTAAAAGTGTTTTCCCCTCTGTGTCCCATTCTCAGTCCCAAAATTTGTAGTGCCCAAGAAGCCAGAGGCAACCATTCTGGAGTCCCCCTGTAGTTAACTCTGCACTCAGTGGTGGCACATGAGTGGCTGTCATTCAAAGCTAATTATTCTGTCTACTTGTCTCTGTCTCTGTCTCTGTCTCTGTCTTTGCCTCTCTTTTTCTCTCTTTCTCTCTCTCTCTCTCATCCTAGTTTTGGAACACCCCAGAAGCAATCTCATGGTACACTTAATCCTTTCACTGTTTTCTAACTCTGAGAGTTTAGAAAGTCAGGTGCTCCCCTTGCTCTCCTTGGATAACTCAATTACAAGAATTAAAAGGCTTTGGTTACATTAATTTGGAAACTGTGCACCTCTCACCCAGGAAGGATCCAAGAGACCCACAAATGCAGGGAGTGCAGACACTCCACCTCCTGGACAGTCACACAAGGGGTAACCCTGAGAGCATCTTATCCATTTGCCTGTACAGGTCAGGACCCTCACAAGACTCTTGTGTGACTCTCACAACATTTCTGTGAAGCAAGAGGAGAAGGTTCCTTTGTGTTTCACATGCCCTGCCTGCCTCTCAGGCTCATCTAGGTAAGTGACTTGCCAAAGGACACAGCCAGTAGTTTAGTGGGGTAGCAGAAATAGAGCACAGCCCTGCAGACATGTAGACTGGGGTCTTCTTGCTATGCTCTACAGCATTAACAGCAGCCTTCACAGTGATTCTTTATATACATCAGAGTGTTTTTATTACTTACATCCATGAAACTGGCAAGCAAACTTGTCAGGTTGCAAGTAGATTAAAAATCTCAGATCCTGGGCTTCCCCTGGTGGCGCAGTGGTTGAGCGCTGGGCTGCGAAGCTGCCTCTGCAGCGCCAGTTCAATCCCTGGCTGCCAGCAAGGGTCCCACATGGCGCGCAGACCTCTCCTGCCGCCCGCTGCTCCCCTCAGCAGTGTACTTCGGTCCTTCTGCCTGCTCTGCTGCCTGCTCTGCTCCCCGCTCTGGCTCTGGTGAATTCTCTCACCCTCCCGTGCTTCTGACTGTACCCAGTGCTTGAATAAATAAATAAATAAATAAATAAATAAATAAATAAATAAATCTTTAAAAAATAAAAAAATAAAATAAAAAAAAACCTCTGATCCTTCACGGTTCTAGACACCTGGGATCCCCTGTTTGAATTCATGATATCCAGAATCCATGAGCATATGACACTAAGTTTGAGATGGATTCTCATGCAATAATAGACAACCAGAGAGATGCAAACCTAAGACCTATTTCTTTTCTTCAGAGCCTATAGTCTAGGGAGAAGAATTAGATGTCATGTATATAGAAACAATAGGCAGGGCTGCCACATGCAGTGTGGATGGGCCAAGGAAGGCACTCCAGTGATCCTGCCAAGTGTGCCTCTGTGTCCACTGAGGTTTCATGGCAGTTAAGAAGTCTTCAAGGGGAAAGATCATTGTTATTTGACACATAAACATGTCTGATGAAAGAGATGCTCCTTGTAGAGACTGAGCACCGGAGGATTTAGAACACAGCATGGAGGTTGTGCCCCAGCCATCCTGGTTTTGTGTTTGCAGCTGATGGAAGAGGTGGCATGTGTGGACCCAAGAGCTTCATCTCTAAATGCTGGGATCCTCCTGCACCATAGCAGCCTTCCTTACACTTAACTGAGGCAGCACAGACAGAGGGAGCATTTTGTTCACTTTATAAAAATATTAATGACGGAGGTGAAAGGTCAGGAATTAGTCCCAAGGGCAGGGCATTGGGAGCTTACGGAGCCAGTACTCCTGCATGATCTGCAGTTGCCAGGACTGTGACCACAGGTGATATCAGAGGCATTAGCAGATTGCCAGGTCTGCTGGTGGTGAAAAGGCAGCAATAATGGCAAAGAAGGAGTCTCCTGGCCTTTGGAACAAGTTGTCAGACAGTTGGGGCCTGGATTTGTATCCCTGGTGGCCAGTGTAAGAACTTTGTCCCTTAATTGGTCAGAAGAGGCTGATCTATGTTGTAATATCAAAGGACCACAAAGTCACAGTGGCTTAAAACATAACAGAAATGTCTTGGAGGTCAGAAGAGAGATGGGATAAAGAAAAGGACTTTGTCGCATGTCGTGGTCACTCAGGGACCAAAGCTGATGGAGATTCACCAATTTATTGAGCTGTTATCTCCATATGAGGCCCCAGGGGAGGAGAGAAAGGGTATCAGATTGTAAATGTTTGTACCAGAAAGTGGCACACATCATTTCCTCCTACATTCCCTGGGTCACAGCAAGTCAACATATCATGGCTTATGTTCAGGACTGTGGGGTGAGGTGTAATATTTTTATGTAGCTGAAAGGAGAGGCAGGCTGGATGTATCGTCACACTCTGCTACCACATTATGGCTGGAGCTTGGGATCTTTCTTGAATGGATTGAGATTATGCAATATGGTCTCCTTTGCAAGGTGAACACACAGGTCACTTGAACAGGGACCTGCAAGAGTCACAGAGGCCTCTCTGCCCACACAGGGCTCTTTAAGCTCCGAAAGTTCAGGACTCCACCATCCCACTCAGTTTTGTGGTGCAGGAGAAAGACCGGAGAGATAGGCGATACAGTGTTTCCCAAAGTGCAATTATGAGCAAGGCATTTCCTGTTCTGTTCTCTTTCAATACTTCTAATTATATCCAAGAGGAAATTATAAACTGAGGTTAATAGGTCCCTAACATGTCTCTAACACTTGTTAGCCTCTCTTTTCAACAAGGAAACCACAGAGCTAGCTGTGCTTCGAACTCAGGCAATACAATGATAGTCACTTTTCTGATTACTTTCCATTAAAGACTAAAACACTGGTTTTCAATCTGCCCATTTTGTTTCCTTTTTAGATGTACTTATTTAAACTTCCAGAAAAAGGGCTCATTCAAAAAAAAGTTCTAAGTACTGGCTATGAGAAGTGGCCAGAAATCTCCAAGGTGCTAAGAAAATGACTGCAATGTGGCAGACAGGTGTCTAATACTCCCTCTCATTTCCCTGTCAGAAGACATTGGTAGAACAGGATTTCAACTACAGGCTAGAATCCATCTTCCAGGTGTTTACTTGTCATCTGCCAACTGTACACCTTAAGGACAGACCATGTGACGTTTTGGTTTTATCACCTGTAAAATGGGGGTGATAATGGTGTTATTTTCCATAAGGTTTATATGAAGATGAAATAGGTTAAATAACGCAACTCTTCTAACAGTCCCAGAGATGATACTGGTTATTACTGTTGTCAGTCCTACTCACGCCTCTTGAATCCAGGTCTCCCAGCTGCCTTTTCTTTATACATCAGGCCTGTGACTGAAGTTGACTGAAAGCAGGCATTTACATCTCATGGTCTATTCGGTTTTTATTTATCATAGGCAAATGTTTTTCTAGAAAATTAAGTAATTGAGTTAGTGATCACCAAGTTAGGCCAAACTGAGTCTGGTGTTCCCTGCAATCAATTACTCCGATAGCTGTTTAAAACAGACAACTTAGCTGGTGGTCCCCCTCCCCACTCCCAATTCTCTCTATTCATTTCTTTGTTCACTAATCTGTTTTACTTGGTCATGTTCAGATGGGAGTGGCTGGCTGCCTGGCTGTGGCAGCTCCTCTCTGTTAATCTAAGGGGAGCAAAGGGTTGTAAAGGGGTTGATGAAATACAGGAAAACACTGCAGGGTCAGCTGTCTGACATCCCAGGCCCCAGGGCAGCTCATGGAGGAGCAGAGACAGGCACCTAAAGCTGGCGCTAAGCGTATCAGTAGCAAGGGCCATGACAGCCTGGAACAGCAGCTCCCAGAAGGCTCGGCCCTCTTCCCTCTCCTTAGGACTAGAGGTTGAGACCAGGCATAGTTTCCCAGAGGCCTAGTCTTCAGTGTGATTTCTGTGCAAAATCATATAAAAGTTAAAGAATCTGAATCACTAAATGTGGTATTTAGTTCATGCTCAGTGACCATGTGACCAAACTCTTAGGACCTTAGTTTCTTCATCTATAAAATGAGCTATCTAATACAAACCTCACCGAGCTGTTGTAGAGATTAAATGAGATCACATTTGTCATACGAAATAGCCCTGATCCCTTCTCCTGATATTGTGTAGAAGGCTAGGAGTTAAAAAATGGCAAAAGTATGTTGTCTCAAATCAAGCTCGATCTTGGAGCAGCAGAAAACATTAATTGGCAATCAGAGTATTCACTTCCAGGGGAGACAGAAGAGCAGGTCCCAGCTGGTTGGACTTAGAGATGACTCACTTTTCCAGAACTTAATTCTCTCGCCTGTAAAATTCATCCAACTTGCACTACCCCATAGAGTTGCTGGGAGGGTGAAATGAAATTCTGTGAAAAACACTTTGTAAAAGCCCCATCACAATACCACACTGATCAGAAAGTGAAGGCACCTTCACATCTAAGGTAATATACGTTGGAATCACCCTCATTGTTGCCATGACCCTTTTCATTTTCCACAAAATGTATGGATCGGTCATGCTGCTTCCCCTTCTCCTCATCCCCCAAGCCATCATGTAGATCAGGGTGGCCAATATGGTTCTTAACATGTCCTGAATAGATTGAAAGAGGGAGGATACCTAAAGCCCTCCCCTGTTAAAGTCTCTCTGGGCCCTGGGAGACAGCTGCTTGGCTAATTCTTCTCCATTTCTGCTATAGAGATTGAGGGAACAGCACATGTTACCTGCTCCTCCCTCCATCCCCACTGCCAGGACTGTTTCTCCACTTTGCTTATAGTCATTCAGTGGTTATAAAGTGATGGCAACTTGCCTCTTCATGTCCAGAAACAATCTTCAGTTGTTTCTATCCCAGCCCATATTGCTTTATGTTAAAAAAAAAAAAAAGTGTGCATTTCAGTCATTTGTAGGAAACTTAACCTCAGGAATCAACTCAAGGAAATGGTGCTACATTCACTCAGCCCCTCAACCCAGCACTGTTATCACCAAACAGCCTCTTCCTTACTAACTCACTCCTGACTAGGCCACATCCAATGGCACAAGTCTGGAGAGGGTGGACATACACTAGGCTAATGGCCCTCACGTTCCCCTCCCTCCCTAGATCCACAGAGGAAGCTGGTATGTGTAGACCTCCCTCCGTCTCTTCCTCCTGAGGCTATGATTGATTGACTCCTGGTGAGCACAAACCCCACTTGGATCAGGCAGAGTCCCTTCCATGGGGATTTAAGAGAGGCTGTCATATACACTTGGAAGCTGTCTATGGCCTTGTTTTCTTCTCTGGGGCATAGGAATGTGGAGGAAACCAATCTTTAGATACAAAAGAAGGATGAAGATTGAAAGGGATGGTGGGAGGAGAAGAGACAAAGCATTGGCTTTAAATCCTTCTGACTCCCAGCACCCCGGCCCTGGGTTCTATCAGATACCACTGTACCCTGATAATAAAGCCCCCATTTTGCTTGCATCAACATCCAGGGTATTTCTAATGTAACTAAATGAATTATAAGCACAGCCTCCCACCAATTATCTCCTAGCAGAATTCTTAGGTCTAAGATCTTAATCCAGAACATCACTTCTCATACACTTAGAATGAATGCAGGGATTAAGCTATTTTGCCACTTTTATAAGATTATTGGTTTTCCACAATAAATATGCAGAAAACCAACATAAGACATCATGTCATTCTTCTATTCAGAGAGAGTCCTAATTCCTCATAGTTAAACATTGAACTTTCTGTGTAATATTCAATCAAGGCTTTTCAAGATTTCCCCCAAAATGATCAATATTTACTATTTGATGTATGTTTCAAGTAACAGAACCCGGTATAACCCAGTATAAACTGGCTTAAAAGAAACAAAGGTTATAAAGTAGATGGTGCAAATTGGCTCACTCAGTCGTTCTAATCCCCTTCTTGGATTTTCCAGTACTGAAGAGGCTGGAAAGTCAAAGACTGCATTTTCCAGGGTTCCATGTACTGAGGAGAATCAGAACCTTTCCAGAAGGAACTATGCCTCAGTACTCCCCTCTGTACCTCAAGATTCACTTTCTGGGCCCAGCCTCCCCCTCACATATATCTACCTCAGGCATCATTTCAAAGGCCACATGACCAAGGCCATAAATCTGTGCCCTTGTTTAGTGTGGCATGTCCTCTACCTCTAATCCAATCTCCCCTCTGTGTGTTCTCGGTGCTCGCTCATTCGGTTTGACAGCTATTTAATAAACCTATTTGCTTTCCTTTGACATGAGGCAGAAGTGGTGGGTGTTGAAGAGCCGTGAGGCCCTCATGGACAATGAAACCCTTTCCCACTCAACACTCTTCCAGCTCAGTACAGATAAATTGTGGAGAACTTGAAATTAACCCAAGCTATCTTCTTTTCTTAAGGAAAAAAAATCACTGGAGACCCAAGAAGCAGAGCAAGTGCAGTAAGTAAAAGGGACGGCAGGAGAAATCACATTTCCTGGCTTGAAGGGCAGGGGTGAGCCCAGATCAGGGGCCTGTGAGCCTTCCTTCAATCTAGCTTTTATCACTTCAAAGAAGCAGGTCTTAAAGGAATGCCCTTTATGAGTGATTCTGTCTTCAAAAGCATGAAAAAAAGCATAGTTTCTTAAGCCCTCTTGCTGGAAGCCAAGGGATTTCTTTAAGGTGCTCGGGCTGCAAATCTGTACAACCAGGATACAATCTGGTGTGATAGAGACAACATTGGCTCCAAATCAGTACACCAGGCTGGAATTTTGATCCCACCTCTCCCAAGATTTATAACTTGGGCTATTTATCTGAATTTTTCAGTCTCAGTTTCCTTCTCTATAAAATGGGCACATTGTTCACCTCACAGTGCTGTCCTTAGAATTAAATAACAGAGGAAATGTAAACATTGTTGATATGCAGTAGTTGCTCAATGAATAACTAGTATTATTGTTTATTGACAGTAGTAATGCCAAGCAAATCTGCCATCCATTTCATGTCCAACTAACCATATCCTTGCATTCCATTGTTATATTACTTAGAATATGATTACTTGGTTTATTTGCATTGGTGGGAGCTAGGAACTGTTTTCTCCATGTTTTCTGTCTCAATCATAGGTTGCAATATAATTTCTCACATTCCAATATCCCTTTAAGCAAGGACAGAAGATGTAGAAACCAGGTCTGAATTGTCTTTGAATAGGAAAGGACTATTGGACTGAAGAGTGTATAATCTTCTCTGGGCAGGTTAGTCCAGTTGGGTGGCAAGGATCTGAGTTGGGTACACAGGTACATAAACATATGGGTTGAGCAGTTACTCAAAATAGCTAAGACTGGGAAGAGCCAATATTTTTAATTCCAAGCAAGTCTCCATTGAACACAATGTTTTAAGTTCTAAGTGAAGTTTGGGTGGCAAGGGCCAGGAGCAGGGTCATGTCAATTACTGTGAATGACTATGTATATATTCAGGTGCTAGGGAAACAATTCTGGATGATTTTAGGGGCCCAGTGGGCCCACTATTAGCAGGACTAACTCCAACAAATCTGGCCTCTATGTGCCAATTCTACAATATAGGTTATGATTGCTTTTGAGCCTTAGGGCACCAATGTCAACTCCCTAGGTCAAGAACCTATGTTGTCCAATAATTTCTGGAAAGTGTATGCATATTCTCCTTTTGCCTGATGCATGTTTGTCTGAATAAATGGCCTTAAGTAAGGATTGGAGAAATAACTACTGCTGTAATCTTGCAAAATTGTTTCTCCCAGGGACCTGACAATGGATTCCAGGTCTGAAAACAGTCAGGAATCGTGACTTTTTCTGGGGCTGCTGTCCACACCTCTTGATCACTCATCCTTGATTCCTTTTAATTGTACACATCGACCAATGCTCTTTTGTTGGTTGTCCAACTATCTTAGTCAAGTTACAATGTACTCTATCAACTGTCTCCCTCTCTGTTGTTCCATCCTCCTTGGAAGGTCTCTACTTTGCTGGTTGTGGCCTACATTATTTGGGATCCTATCATCCTTATTCCTATGAGGAGCCTAGTTCTATCATAGTAGCATCTCTTGCTTGCACTCTTATTCTATAAAGATCACCATCACTTAGCTTCTCAATAATTCTAGTGCATACTTACTAACAAATTCTCTGGTACCTCTTGTAAAACTTGATCAGTTGGTACATTTTATGATCTGATGAAACACTTGCTCTACCAACCCCACTTCTCAGAATCCTGTGATCTTTTTCTTCTCATCTGTCACATCAGTTCTGCCATTTCTACTTTATTTAGTAGAGGTTCTAACATTTCTCAAGCTTCTCATAGCTATTCTAGCAGCATATTACAAACTTCAGGATACTTGCTATGGTATTAAATCCTAAATTGCTAAATTTATCCAACTTTATTTTCTCTTTTATCCAACTTTATTTTCCTCTCTCTTGATCCTGCACGCTTGGGACCTGACCACAAAGTCACTGGAGCATCAGCCAGTACTTATTAGCTAAATCCTGTAGCAAATTGATATAGTAAATACTCAGCAAATAGCTCCTCTCAGACCTCTTAGCTCCTGTTAGCAGGCCCACCACCTCCGCAGTCATACTATGCTGGGCAATGGCCCTTGCTATTGCTCTTGTTGACAGTAAGGGCCATGCTATGGGAGGTGGTAAAATCCTGACTGGCACAAACATTGTTTTGCAAAGAAGTTATTTCCTTTGATTGTTATTTCTGCATAAGCTGCAAGTTAGGGAGAGGGCACTATTTTTCTATTTTTATTAACATGGGGGAATGCCCACATACAGTACAGTGGGTTCAGGGTTATTCATGATTTCAAGGTCCTCAGAATTGTCTACACAAGTTTCCCAGAGCCTACAAAATCAACCTTCTTTGAAGTTCTAGTATTCTTTTACTTAATTTTTGGTGCTTACCACCATCTGCCCTTTGGCTGTAAATTAGAACTTCCTTAAATACTGCCTAAGAGGTCCTCTTACCTTCATATTTTGCATTGCTAATCATCAGAAACTGGTCATTGTTTCTCTTAATGAATCTATGTTTGTGGAAAAAGCTACTCAATCCTACTGTCCTACTTCCCTCATTCACTCAAGTATACCACCTAAAATACCCACTTCCATTTATATCCTAGTCATAGCCAACATTAGCACAAGTTTTAATTAAACAACAGATAACATGCTAAGTACTCATCATGCTCTACCACTGGGTTCTCATTGACAGTTGTTTAGCAGTTTATCCAGTTCCAAAATCCCACTTTAGGGAGGGTCCCCTCCTAAGATCACTTCTTATTCCATTTTTCTAGAAAAAGATGCTGAGGTGGAAATTTTGGTGCAGAAAATTTACCAGTACATACTCTCAGGTGTTTGATATACATATTTGTAAAGATGTAACGCGAGACTAGGAAGGAGAAGCGACCCATGATGTTGCTACAGCTGACGCTTTGCTAAACCCCAGGAGAGCTTTGGAGATAAGATGACCCTTTAAGAATGTCCCAAAGTGATGCAAGTGGGTCAGGAGATTGTATAGTCACTAGTCACAGTCACCTCCTGTAAGGGAGAAAACTGGGCAAGGCAGTTCCCTACAGCCTAATGCGATGCCCAGTAAGGAATGTGGGAATAGGTTATCCTGGCTGATATTCCCAGCAGTTGGGAATATATTAGTCCCCAGAGAAGACATCTGGGCAGAGCACCATATATATACACACATTATATAATCAAGATCCTACTTAAGATTTAAAATATTTTCACTATGCCAGAAAGTTCCTAGTATCCCTGCAGTCAATCTCTGCTGCCTCCTCCGTCTCAAGAGAAAACCACTATTCTGATTTCTATCACAATAGATTATTTTTGTGAGTTCTACAACTTCATATAAATGGAATCACAAAGCAGTCTGTAATGTCTAGTATGTATTTTCTAGATTCAATCACATTTTTGTGTTTATCAGAACTTTTTATTGTTAGTAATATCCCATTATATAAATATACCACAAATTATGTGTACATTAATGATATTTTTGTTGTTTCCAGTTTCTTGCTTTTAAGAAAAAAAACTGTCATAAACCTTCTTAAACTGGTCTTCTAAATTAGGACATATACTTTTTTTTCTTTCTGGGAAATAGCTCGGAATAGATTTGGTGGGTCATAGTTTCCATGGAGTCTTAAGACAAAGAATAAATACTAACTAGTTGCCCAAAGTGGTAACACCATTTTGCCCTCCTCACATGAATGTATGGTAGTTCCATTCTCTCCATTTTCATAATATCAGTCTTTTTAATGGCATCCATCCTACTGGCTATGAACTGACAGCCTGCTGTGGTTCCTAGTTTGCATCTTCCTAATGAGTAGTGATGTCAAGCGCTCTGCGTGTGTATCTAGGTATGTGTACCTTTGGAAAGTTCCTGTTCCACTTCTTGCTGGCTTATTTTTGTTGGGTTCTTTATCTTTTTATTACTGATTTTTAGGTTTTCTTTATATATAGTAAGTCCTCTGTTCGATATACATATTTGTGAATTTTCTTCCAGCCTTTTGCATTCTTTTACAATCTTGATGTTGTCTTCTGATGAGCAGAAATTTTAAATTTTGATAAAGTATAAATCACTTTTTTGTAGCTAATGCTTTCTATATCCTGTCTAAAATATTCTTTACCCATCCCCAGGTATAAAGGTGTGCAGAAATTCTTAATTTCTTCACGAAAGATTTATTGCATTGTTTTTAAAGTAAGATCACATTTAATGTCATATTGTATTGTTCAAAAAAAAAAAGAAATGTTTACTAAAAATGAATAGTATAGAGGTTGGGAAGGAGGTGGCAACAGATCAGGGAGCTGAAACTAGCAGAAGAGTGGATGCCCAGATAATCAGTCTCCTGAGTGCTGAAGAAGTCTCTTGCTCTCTCGCTATAACCTCCAAGCTGCTCTTATCCATTAGAGCCAGGGAGACCAGATATGCCTTTTAAAAAGGGGACCTGCAAATGGAATTCACACAGTGCCATGACCCTTGATGTGCAGCGCGGCAGGGTGTGGTCCACTCGCTTCCAAGTGCACACCACTCATTCACAGCTGAGTTTGCAGCTCCTGTCATACCCACCACTGCCCAGCAATTCTACAGTCTGCTCTCCCTGACAATGTTTTCATATGTTGACCTGAACCTTTACAAGGTTACTAGCTCACTTTTGATTCCTGAACACACTTTGTTGATGTTTTCCGAGAGGTCAGCTTCAATTCTCCATGACTTTAACTTCACTCCTCATCTTTGAGGAGAGGACTGCCACGTACTGCCCAACTATGATCCTCAGCTCCCTGAATCTCCACACTGACCTTTTATGTCTAAAGCCCATTCATAGTAAAATCAGGGCCTCCCCGGTGGCGCAGGGGTTGAGCGCTGGGTTGCGAAGCTGCTCACAGCCTCTGCAGCGCCAGTTCGATCCCCGGCAGCTGGAGAGGGTCCCACAGACCTCTCCTGCTGCCCACTGCTCCCCTCAGCAGTGTACTTCGTCACTCTGCCTGTTCCGTTCTCCACTCTGGCTCTGGTGAATTCTCTCACCCTCCCGCGCTTCTGACTGTACCCAGTGCTTGTATAAATAAATAAATAAATCTTTAAAAAAAATCATACTAAAATGAGAGGAGCATGTGTCCCTGAAACAGGGTCATTTTAGGTCCTGCCAAACCCTCTTCATAGTGAATCTGTCCAGCTTCCAGCCCTTTGCTGCCTGGGCCATGGTTTATGCTCCATGACACCTGAGCCACAGGAGACTGGATCAAAGCAAATCACAAAACCAAGGGTCATATGACCCAGGAGCTCCAGCTAGAAACTGACTCAATTTTTCAGTGGCCTCATGAAAAGATAAGATCCTCCAATGATCACATCTTTTTCTCTTAGAATTTGAACTGAAACACATGAGAAAAATTTATGTTATTAGAGGTAAAGAATTTAATAATATGTGGTTATAGGTGAAGAAAAAGTTTAGGTAGGTGGCTGAAAAGGGCCAGGTGCAAGACTAAGTGATAGAAGCAGAAACCCTGGGCAGACAGAAGCGGCTGCTGGACAATGGAGCACAGAGTTGCAGATGCCAGGAAAGGACATCAGTCCTAGACTTGCCTATCAATTCCCATAGCTAAAAGTTATCTTATGAGGGTCTCTATTTTTAACACCTACCATGAGAGGGGAAGAGAAGTGAGGGAGTAAGGAAAAGCAAAAGGAATCAAAGTAGAGCAAGGAGGGTGGTTGCTCTTCACTCTCCCATATAATATTTCTCATATAAACTGTTTGTGGGAAGGCTGAACATCACTTCACACCATTCCTGTGACTCCCTCCTGTGCCAACTCACCTGTGAAGGTGAGGGCATTGCCACTAGACCTGTGTGAAAGGTATATGCATATTCAATGAGTTAGAGAATCTGTGTCATTGAGCAGCAGCTCCTGCCTTATCAGTTTTTTTTAAATTATTATTAAGCCAATTTTTAACGATTACTTTTAGAAGTGTGATGAGGCAAAAAGAATTCAGAGGCACTAAAATGTGACTGTTGAAAATGGCTGTTCTGCTGGGATTATGGGACATGCATACCTCTTTGCAAAATTCCAGTGTCAATCTGGGAGTAAAGTGCTTTTTGTCAAAATGACTTATTAAGGGAGTGACATTCCGATAAAGGCTATGGTCACTTTATGCCCACAGAGCAACACCCACAGAGAATGAGAATTTTCCCAGGTTGTGTTAAGGGAACAAAGATCACAGTTGCATGATCTGGATATAGTCAGCCTTCACACTCAGTTATACACAAAAGCTGAACACAAGGACGTGGTCAGTGAGGTTTACACACACACACACACACTTGTGTACATGTGTGCACACATACACATACTTTCCCCTGAAAATGGAACATATATAAGAGGGGGTTCAGCAACAACTGGTTCATGGGAATTCGTTCTTTAAAAGAAAGTTCCTAATTCATTGGGGGAAGTTTCAGCTGATCAGTGAGAAAAACTACAGGGGCACTGAGCAAAAGAATGTTCTATCATCTTCTTTACATTGTAGAGAATCAGGACATGTAGAGATCAAGACATTGTACCCTGAGTGTAGGGCAAATTGAGGCGAGAAACCACAGCTGAAAGTAAAGTAAGGCATTCAAAAGCAAAAGTAAACACTTGACCTCATATGGTCTTCAGCCTGCGTGTGTGGACAGCACCCAGCACCACACACTCAAAAAAAAAAAAAAAAAAAGCTCTAGCTGGAAGAAACATGTGCAGCCCTAGCCAAGTACATGTTCATGAGGCAAAGACGAGATACAGATACGTGCAAAACTGATTACAGGTTCTGGGTTTATTGGGCAGAGATCACAGATAATGATGTTCGACATTCAACAACGAACACATCAGGAAAAATACTGTGATAAAAATCCCAAAGTGTAGGTAAGGAGTATGAAGAGACCCAGGTAAAGGCTGAATGCTTGCCGGTGGCCCCCAGCAGAATATCACTGACATGTTTGCTCACTGTACTTTTTTGAAAATTTATATGCAAAACTCATTTTTGTGGGTCAATATGTGGTGTGTAGAGAGCAAAGTCTGTGTCACCAGAAGTGTCTTAGAAATGCAGAATCCCAGACTGCAGTCCCACAGCCGTCTCCCAGCCTGCCTCACGACAGGGCCTCCAGGTGGTGTGTGTGCACCTGGCAGCGTGGACAGGGCTGCTCGTCTCCGCAGTGGCTCTTCCTCAGAAAAGAAAGTGCAAGGTGTGGAGTGGGGACTTGCAGCTGAGGGGTGTGAGCCTTCACTTCTGCATCACATGCAGAGCTGTAAACCAGTGTTACCTCAACCAATCTATCACTCAGCTGATAAGATAGAGGAAAGAAAAGAAAGTGCAATTTCCACCGGCTAAAAGGAGATTGCCATGCTGATATTTGTATTAGTTTCCTGAAGTTGCTGTATTAAATCACCATAAATTTAGTAGCTTAAAGTGGCAGGAATTTATTTTCCCATTGTTCTGTAGATTAGAAGGCAAAGTGTTGGCAGGGCAGCTCTCCCTCCAAAGGCTCCAGAGAGAGAATCCTTCTCAGCCTTTTCCAGTGTGTGGGCCAAAGCTGTTCCTTAGTCTGTGGCTGCTCCTCCCATCTTAGTTCTCACATGGTTTTCTCCTCTGTCTCAAATCTGCCTCTTTCTCTTTTGCCTGTGGTTTGCATGCCCATGTGGATAATCCAGGAGGGTCGTGTCTATAGATCCTTAATTATACTTGCAAAGACCCTTTTTCACAGGTTCTTACGGGTATATGTTTCTGGGGAAGTACCATTTAACCCACTACTGCAACATGGGGGTCAGTGAGAGAAACAGTCTCTAAGATTTGGGGGCTTGTCACAGGGAAAGTGATAGGACTGATACTAATTATTAGAGATAATCTTCAACTTTTAGGGTCCCAATTTGTTTTAAATCACTTGGCAATGGTCTTCATGTGCAAAAGAAGAAGAGAGAAGAGGAAGAGGGGAGAGAGAGAGAGAGAGAGAAAGAGAGGGTTTTTTTGCTGTCTCCCTGGGTCATCATTAGAGAAAGATCACAGAAAACACTGAATTAATTCAGGTTTTCCTGCAAGTGCTGTGTTCTGGCAATGACATGAAAACGTCGCTGGCATTAGAAGTCCGTCTAAACTATACCTCTTTTCTGTCAGCAAAGCATTCCCCTCTTGCTTTCACTATCCAGCGCTCTCTCTTCCTTCCAGCCCCTTGACTCCCAAATGCAGGGTGTCCAGCCCCTTCACAAGTCAAGGAGCAGGTCCTTGCAGACAACTTTCCTCAGGCCTCCCTCCATCCCAGCTGCCAAGGGCCCAGCCTGTCAGGTCCTGCGCTAATTAGGAGCATTATCACTTTGCTGAGAAAGAACACCCAGGACCCAGGAAAGGGCCTCTGTTAAGTGTCCTGGACATCAGAGATCCGGCTGCAGGCTTCTGCTTGACAGAACTGAAAGCTGTGAGCCGCCCTGGGAGTTGTGGGGAGAGAGCTACCTCCACTTGGGCCACTCAGAGTTGCCGGACCACAGTCAAGGGGACGACACACACCCACCACACAAAATGTGGCATATAGTTCAGCACCACTAAGTCCATACACACTATTGTCCATCTCCAAAACACTTTCTTTTTTTTTTTTAAATAATAAATTTTATTTTTATATTCCCCCATACAATTGCAAACCCCCCATTCTGACCCCAATCCCTCCCGTCCCGCCCCCCACCCCCAAAAAGTGTCTCTGGTTCATAGTTTTTTGGTGATTTTGATTTTCACTTTCTTATAGTTATTCATTTTCTGGTCCCTTATTTAAGTTTTCTAGATTCCTGCTATGAGTGAGACCATCTATCTTGTGAAGCCAAAATTCTATGCCCATTAAACAAGCCCTCACCCCTCCTCCAGCTCCTGCAACCTCCATTCTGCTTTCTCTCTCACATTGGCAGGGTCCACATTTCTTCTTTTTCCAGTTTGTTTCAATTAGCATAATGTCCTCAGATTTCATCTATGTCACAGCATGTGCCAGAATCTCCAACCTTTTCAAAGATGAATAATATTCCATTTTGTATCTATATCATACTTTATTTATCTCTTGATCCATGTTCAGGACACAGATTTTTAGAAGATAAATATTTACTTTAAATTTTGAAGTCACTTGAGCAAAAGGAAGGAAAACTCTAAGTGGTCTAAAACTGAGTAGTGAATAAAATTAAGGCAAATTTTGCCACTCATTTAAAGCAACTCCAGAAAGCTGCAACAAGAAATCACCTTTCTTTTTATACATGCAAAAGGCCCCAACTTTCCGGGACTGAAAGAAAACAGGAGTGCTTTAAGAACCAAGTAGCTGGTCCAGTTCTGGGGTGAGTCATGCCATTTGCATAAGGTTTAATTAATTAATTTGCAAAGAGCTGCAAGGCAATGAAACTACATTTGCCATTCAAATGAGATCCAATGATTTGGAAGGAGCTCAGAGAATTCCAAATTATGCCTTGAGATTTTGGTGCAGGTTTACAGATGTGGGAGGGGCAGGCCAGTAGTCTTCTGGAGTTCCCAACTAAGGAAAATAGGGTTCTCCTGCAGAGGGCTCTTATACCTGGTTGCCCGTGCTGTAAGAAATTCCATTAAGTGGAAGCATACTGGCTCTATTATTGTATTCTCTGACAATTACTTTTAAATCATTTTCCTAATGGAGGTGTGTTTATTATTTGTATTACCTTTATTAATACAACCTGTCTATTTTGAAAATCTTGGGTTACTGAATATCTAATTGACTAGCTGGTAGATTAAAGGGACTTTATTTTAGCAGGGAATAAAAGATGCCTTTAATGTAAAGAAAAAGAAAAAATTATGCATGCCATTTATTTTTCCAAAGTGTAATTTCTATTTCTCATTTTTTTCCAGTAAATATATGTGCAAAGGAAGACTCATAAATACTGGGATATGTAGTAACTTAAGTAACAGGGATTCCTCAGGGGCTGATTTGCTGCATTCCATCTTGGTGAGAGAGAGGTCTCTGGGGTAATGTTGCACCACAAGTGAGAGGTGTTAGTGGTCAAGAGAGGGTATTGAGTCACAGACTGCAGGGCCCCTGGGTACTAAAACTAGCTCCATAGTATCCCTCTGAGGTGTGCTATCCAGACTGGAGCACAAAGACAGGAAATAGGGCTCCTCTTGCTAGTTCATCAATCTGCACTAAATGTACAACCAGATATGCACAAACTCAGGTAATATGCTCTTCACAGTCCAGAACCTTCCAGAATTTGGATACCTGGAATTCAGTGCCACCTTTGCTCTTCTACTGCCTCACCTAAAAGAGACATACACAGGACTACCCTCCCTGGTCATGTTATTCCGCGTGAATCCAGGCTTGCCAATGTCATGGCACTGTCCATAAACACCATGGTTTCCAATAATTGTCTTAGCACTGTATTGAAAAGAAAATCTCTTGATGTTATAAAATGATTACCAAGGCACCTTTAGTGGGAGAATCTGTCCCTGACATTCAAAGGGCAGAGAGCCACATGGAGTTGCAAAGCAATATTGTGACCATTTCAGATGGGACCAGGCAGCAACCAAGTTGCCCCCATTGCTAATACATGAGTTGGGGCTGTTGCTGCCCACTTTGCTCCATCACAGTCAATCCCAAATTCAATTTCCAGGGTGAAATTTTACATAGAGGAGAGTAGTTGGTGGTCTTCACCAGTGGTTGCCTTGAGTTGTCAAGTTCCAAAATAAAGGAAGTTGGGGAGGAAGGTCAATATTAGGCTTGGGAATCTTCTCAACAGATTAGTGCTTTCTTCCAGGAGGACCAAGAAGACATTTCCACCTGCCACAGTCTCCTGAAGGCTCAGGTTTCTTAAGATAAATAGAAACCAAAAAGAAGAGTATCCAAGCTTTAGCCATGGAGGGAAGAGATGATAGTCCAGCAAGTGTATTTACAAAGCAGTTCCTCTCTCTGGGACTGGTTGGGAATCTTAAATGAAGTCTCTTCATTTGTATTTTCCATCCTTGCTCTTTTTATGTATTTTTCTTTGTAGTAATGACCCAGTCCCTTCTCATACCATTGCTGCCGACTGGAAACAATAATGATACTAATGCCAATTATGACTACCATTTACTGTCCTTTTTTTTTTTTTTAAAGATTTATTTATTTACTTATGCAAGCACTGGGTACAGTCAGAATCACGGGAGGGTGAGAGAATTCATCAGAGAGGGGAACAGAACAGGCAGACTGATGAAATACACTGCTGAGGGGAGCAGCAGGCAGCAGGAGAAGTCTGCATGCCATGTGGGACCCTTGCCGGCGGCTGGGTATCGAACTGGCGCTGCAGAAGCTGCGGGCAGCTTCGCAGCCCAGCGCTCAACCGCTGCACCACGAGGGGAGGCCCTTACTGTCCTTTTCTATGTGCCCATCTGTGTACTCTGAGCAGTACAAGCATCATCTCACCTAAAAACATGAGGCTGGACTCAAATTGCCAGCCCTACACCACAGTATCTCAGACATGATAGGAGATTATGGTGGGAGTCGTCAGTGGGAAAAACATAACAGTGTGTTTAAAATCATTGATAATGGTCTGGGTATTATCACTTGGAAAACATGAATCCAAGAAAGGGAACATATTTTGAATGGCATACTGTAAAATAATTCTAATCGGCTAATTTTATATGACTGACACTCCCTGTGAATATCCCCATCTGCAAATACACAGTCTGTTGTATTAGTACCAGATATTCATGGTATACTCCTCAATTGACTGTAGGAGACTACATTCTGTCTGGGTCTGCTCTTTGGGGCAACAATCAAAACAAAACTAATAGCACAAAATGGAGGAGAGAGGGAACTCACTGAAATCCCAACTCTGCCCCTATTAGTTGTGTGACTTGCCTCTCTGTACCTAGGTTCTTCATTGGAAAATAGTGATAAGAATTAGAAAAACAGATAAAAACAAACAAAAAGACAAAATGGGTAGGCACTTAATAAGTAACTTAAAACACTTCATTCTAAAGGTGTGTTATACTTTCGTCTTCTTTGCAAACCTTAGAACCTATATTTACTTGTCCAAACAAGAAACCAAGATAACACATTTTCTAAACACAATTTGAAGTCTTCATTTAACTTTACATAAGTGCTGTGAATTCCTACTGTACAGCCTCTGTATCACTCATTTCCAGCTCTTACAATTTGTCCAAAAAGAAGATAAGATTTCTGGGTCCCAGGAATATGATTCTGTCTTCTGCCTCCCAGTCAAACATCCTGTGCTTTCCTCTGACCCAACACATGGCAAAGAAACTCTGTCAAGGGATTGGTCTGTGGGAGAGTCTATGAGCTATTTCCTGTATACCCACTGGTCTGAGACACTGGGCCTCACACTGGGCCTTTCTGTGGCAGCTCCACAGCCCTGTTGCCTTAGCCTTCCTGTCTGGCAGTGCAGACAGAACATTCCCAATATGTAAGGCCCAGTAAGACTCAACACTTTCACCATGAGGCTCTGGGTCTACCCTATCTGACCACTTTGGAACCAGCCACAAAGGGTTTGCTTGGCTAGCTAACTAGGCTTTTATATAATTTAAAAAAAAAAAAAAAGTCAAAGACAAAACCTGTAGGGTCCTGAAGGATTCCCAAGGGCAGCAAGTTGGAAGAACCATTTGCCTCTTTTAATGTCCCCACCCACCCCCACACTGCCGCCCCAGCCTTATCCGAGAGCAGCCACCCTATCTGTAAATGGCGACCATGGAAAATGTACCCTGGCGACTTGGTGTGAAAGATAGGCAAGGCTCCTAAAAAATCTTCTCGGAGGCTTATCACCTTCTTCTGGCTCCACAGTGGGCTCAGGCTCTGGGGCTGGAGGAAACTGCCTGTCTGTGAGCCTAGACAGGGTCTCATCAACAACTGATAAGGCCCTCTGTGAACAAGCAGGCACTGTGGGGCTTACTCGCCTCTCAAATGCCAGAGACATTTGTAGGAAAATATACAGGGTCCAATGACCTCCGAGAATGAGGCTGGGCAAGCCCGCAGTGTCAGCCAGAAGCCAGCAGCCCTACCCCCACCTGGGAAAGGAGAAAACCCAGCGGTCACTCCACAGGCCAGGGGACAAATGTCTGATGATCGCTGGGACATCCAGGCACTGACAATGCTTGTATGCCAGATGAATTAATCACAAAATAAATTCAATCTATTCACATACCAAGCTACCAAAAATATTCCTGCAATAGACATTTCTGCAACACTGTTAGAAGACAATGGATATTAAAATGATACCCTCTCACATTGCAACCTTAAAGACCCTTCCATAACAAACCACTTAGTTCTACAAAGACACGGGATTGGGAAAGAAGAAATCAGATTTTATATCCCAACTCTGCCCTCTAACTAATCATGCAGCATTAAATAAATCAGTTTCCCCAGGAAAATGCAAACATTTGCTCAAATTGTTTTTATGGAGAGTATTATAAATAAATGGTAGAACCCTAGATAAGTAAAGCATTATTCTGCTAAATGTACAACACTTAGACTATCTTTACTGTGTAAATGGTGAAAGCACTTGGGCACTCTAATCCTTTGAAAGTTACTAATCCCTACTTAGCCTGGTAAATTCAGTGGAATAAATGTATACTGCATCTCCTGCATATAGAAAATGCAAGAAAAGACACAGTTCCCATGTAAAGAACTGTGATGTCAGGCATGAGCTATAATGAAGCTGTGAACATATTGTAACAGAGCAGCCTGAGAAGAATAAAAGTCTTGAGGAGAAAGTCTAATCTGAGCAGATCCTAGTGACAGGATGGCTTTGACAGGTGGAGCAGACTAGGAGAAAGCAACAGCAGTAGAGGACAGAGCAGGAGAGATTAATGGAGCAGGAAGTGGTCTGGTGGGCTGCACTGAAGGGGATAATGAGGGTAATTGGGGGTAGACAAGGAGAGATCATTGGGAAGGGTTTTGAACACTAGGCTAGGGAGGGGCTCAGGTTGTATTATGTGGGAATAGAGAGCTGCTGAAGGTGTGCAGGAAGAGGCTCACTGTAGCAGGAGACATAGGACAGACTGGAGATGGGAAAGCTGAGGGAGCAAATTAAGAATGATAGTTGGGGATGGGGTGGGGGGGCTGCTCCAGGAGCCTTGTGTTGTGTGTTGAGTAGCTGATAACCAACAATGCCATTCTCCTTCCTTTCTGGATGAAGTGGCCACTCTACTCAGCAGCATCTTTTGCCTGTGAATACCTCAGTTCCGGTTGCATTGTTTGGTCTTTCTGCTGTCCCAGGTAAAATAGATTTCCCAGTCTCTGATCAAAGCAGGAGAGTAATAAAAGAAAGGTCAACAATTTAGTTATTATAAAAAACTTTAAAGCCAGAATTAGACAAAAATAGGAAAAATAAAAATCTCATGTATCCAAATATACCTACTTTGGTAGATAACCTAGTTCATTATCTGTGTGTGTATGTGTTACACATTATATCTTCCTGTGTACATATAGCAAAAAATAGGACAAGGACTGTTGCAGTACTATTAATTAGTGTTAATTAGTACTATTAGTAGTGCTATTAGTGGTACTGTTCAGTGTTGTCTAATGCATGGCACATGAGAGTATTGATTAGTTTAATGTTTATTAAACTAATAAATAATCAAGAATGACTGAAAACTATTTTATAAAATGATTTTTAATTAGAGTTGACTCTTGAACAGTGTGGGAGTTAGGGGTGCCAGCCTCTGTGTATTAAAAAATCCACATATAATTTTTGACTCCCCGAAACTTAATTGCTAGTAACCTGCTGTTGCCTGATAATCAAAAGCCTAACCAGTAGCATAAAGAGCAAATTGACACATGTTTTGTACAACATATGTATGATATGCTATATTCTTACAATAAAGTCAGGGAAAAGAAAATTTTGAGAAAAACAAGGAAGTGAAAAAAGATATTACTGTATATCTTGATACCATAAGTTTATGTCAACTGTTGAGAAGAAAATATGCATATAAGTAGACCCATTAAGTTCAACCTTGTGTTGTTTGAGGGTCAACTGTAATTGAATTTCAGATTGTGAGCAGCTTTCCATGTATAAAACAATCTGGTAATGACTACAATGACAGTCTATCACAAACATGTATCAAACTTACTTCGCCAAAACTCACATGAATGGGCATAGATTTAAAAGAAGTTGTGATGAACATTTTGATGTCAAAGACCTAGATTCATGAGATACTTTTAGGGAAAAAAATACTAGGAGGTTTACCAGACAAAGATGTGCACAATTTCAAGACTGCTGATACCCCTTCCTGAATTGCTCTTTAGAACTGTCCTAGCAGTTCATACCTGAATGCAGGACATGCAGACTCACTTTTCAGAGGCAGTCCCACAAGCGATGCTGCCTTTCCCTTCATCTTTGCCTACCTGATGGGAACTAATCCCATTGTAGTTCTCACTTCTTTGATTATTTAATGTCTCTGCATTTATTTTGTTTTCTGGTTTTTATTTATACTTGGGGGAGAGGATTCTTGTACATAGCCTCTTACTGTTTTTCTATGTTGCTGTTTATTTATAGAGAGTTATATCTATGTCAGGAACACAAACTCTTTCCCAAAAACATTGCAAATGCTTCTAGTTTGTTATTTGTGGGAATTTTTTTGCTATACAGCTTAATATTTTTACACAGTAAATCAACCGCTCTTTCCTTTATGGTTTCTGCCTATAGCGTGTTTTAAAAGGTTTTCCGCACCCCAAGATTAGACATACTTGTGTTCATGATATTTATATTTTTCTGGTGTCTTACATCTCAAAGTCATTTGAACATTTAATAGCATATTAAATAGATATAGATGATTTTGACACAGGCATCCTGTGTGGCAATCCAGAATATCTTTCTTGGACAAGGACTTTGAGCTCTGTTTTTTGTTTTTTTTTTTTAAAGATTTATTTATTTATTTATTTATACAAGAACTGGGGTACAGGCCAGATGCACGGGAGGGTGAGAGGACTCACCAGAGACAGAGCGGGGAACAGAACAGGTAGACAACCAAAGTACGCTGCTGAGGGGAGCAGCGGGTGCAACAGGAGAGGTCTGCTGCACCATGTGGGAACCTCACTGGCCGGAGGATCGAACTAGCA